CTTCTCTCTAATTCTGCTCTAATTCTCTTTTCCTTCTGCAGTTCCACACCCCAAAGCTGAGGGGAATCAAAATGAGCTGCTAGGAGGAAGAACACGGCCTTTTCCATGAGCAGCCTTCTGTTTAACATGCTACTTTCAATACACCTCCTTTTTTTTTTTGCTGCCATCCAGCCATCATCCAGAATTCTGCAGCTCAGATTTATTAACTCCATCTATTATGGGTTCTTCCTGTATAGCCACAACTTTGTAGAGCAATTCTACTGTATAATCCTACACTGCTGGTACTTTAGGTGAATGAGAAAGACATTCCAATTGTGGAAGGAACTGGTCACAAGGCTTGCTTTTCAATGGAGTTGATGTTCCTCTTACCATCTGCATAGGAAAGTTCCATAATATTATCTCCACATTTGCAGCTCTACCAATCACCTTCCCCTGCAACTAAAATAGATTATACAAGGTTCCAATTGACACTGGCAGACTGCACATAAAAGGGAGTTCAGATAAAATCCCAAATCTTAAACTGGAAGGACTCAAGGTAAAATATAATTGATTCTTCTTTTTCTCCTGTTGTGATACTCCTTTTCCTCATTTCAAAATATCAGAACTCCCACAATATTCTATCATATACTCTGTTACTAATGTCTTACCCTTGGCTTTTTTTTTAAAAAAAAGTCAGCCCTATGAGAAAGAACAAGAATAGAAACTACACTTAAGAAATGATAATAATTTGCATTATTATATACAGATAGATATTATTATATAAAGGTATACAGTTAAAGGTGCTTTCGGTCAATGTGCATTCATATTGTAATAGTTTTATTTACAGTACAATAATAAACTACTGCTAAGAGTGTCATATTTTAGCCACTGCAATATTAAGACACCTACACTCATGAGGTTAACAAAGATAATAAAAAAAAAACTAACAGCCACTTATTCCAATTCTTAGAGAGAACTGAGAAATGGTATAGGTGCTTTGCCTCAAGGGGCAAAAGGAAAATGAAGACCTAGTAGACCCAGCTGTATTAACACAACCACATGCATGTCTATGCCAACAGTCTGTACTGGATGGAGCTTATATCTGGATAGGTACACATAGGACTGTAGCCTTAGATTAGCCTTATCAGAAGTGATGCCCCCAAATACTTTGGACTCCAGCTTCATCTATTGTCGGTTGTGTTTCTGACCTTACGCTATATTTGCAAGGTGAGAGAATGCTCTGTTGTTATTATTTACTGAAAGACGCCTGTCACATTATAACCTTTCTCGCTTTGTTGACAACAGCTTCCCTTGGGATTTAATGGAAACCAGGGACACCGGAGCCAATAGAGAGACTATTGCATAATAAAAGGCAGGACACTGAGATACCTTCAGCCACCTAGGAACTAAGGCTAACAGTCAAGTACGGTCCTTCCCAATCTATGCCCTCCAGTTTCAGATTGTAATGTTCACCTTTCCTGGCCAATACTGGAGCATCAAGTAAGGAAAGGCTGGTGTAGGGGGACTGCATGTGTGCATCTCCAGAGATAGATAATCACATTGTGCTTTATGCCCTTTTCTCCATCAGTGGGGATCAAAATTCATTTTATTTGTGGCATAGAAATTAAAAGGGAATTTCACTGAATATTTCCAGAAAGTTCTTCAATTGTTTATCCAGAAGCTGGGTTTATAATTAACTTCTCTTCCCCCTCCCCAACCCTTTCTCCAAGGTTTCTTTGTCTAAACCCCCCAGATTTAGAGTAATTTCTGGAGCACTGGGGGGGGGGGAAGGGGAGAGACAGTCATATTCCAAGGATCTCCTACAAAATGGTCTTCTTTTATTGTTAAAAAGAAGATAGTCATCCACATTTTTCTTAGGAAAAAAAATGTTTCTGGAAGTGTTTGGCTCCATATCCTTCTAGAATCATGAGAAATGTAATGTGGTGAGATGCTAACAATTTCTGTTGGCTGTCTCTACCCCCATCTTTTCACACTGAAATTCCTTTGGAAAAAGAAATTACTCTTAAACTTGGATGGAACATACTTGGATAAAACTGGTGGTAGGGTGGGGAGAGCTCTCTTCAATTTTAGACAGGAAGGAGTCTATCCTCATCCACACCATTATTTTTCCATTCTCTGCCAAAGATTAACACAGAACACTGAAGAATGTTACATGATGAATATTCCCACATGTGGTAAATTCTCTCACTGCTATGACAGAATCTTTATGAATGTGATGTTGCAGAACTGACCACCATTGATTATTAAAGGTTCCAGAATGCTTCCTGATATTGTGAACTGTACTGTGAACTCTGGATCTGTTCATGTATTCACCTGCACTGATGTCTTTGAATACCAACAGCCTTAAAGTTCTTTCTGAGCCTTTGAAAAGGGTCTATAAATGGAGTTAGCCGATAAGGCACCTTTGGCAAACGTAAGGAGTTTTATGGCATACTTCTGTTGAATAGGCTTCCTCCTTTCCTCCCATCCCCAATCCAAAACTTTGTTCTAAGCGGACCCAGCTCTCTGAGGAACTTTCTCTCCATTTGCAATGCAGGTCAATGCCTTCTTACAGGCCTTTCTTTACAAGATTGTGTGCCACCTGCCACATGGTGACTGAAAAAACAAGCAGAGGGTTGAGGGAGAATGAGTTGTGCCAATAATCTGTTTGGCAAATGAAACTGACCCACGCATAGATCTGAAGTCACAAGAGATGTAGATTCACTTGGGAATGGATTACATCCTACTTCTCCCAAAACAAGTGATTGTCAGCTAAGCAAAGCAGCATTGCTACAAGCAGTAAACCTCTTCATTCCTGTTCTTTCTCTTTGAAGAACAGCTTCAGGCTCCAAATGATGATTTCTTTTTCTTAAAAGCCCACACAGTGACAAAAACACAGGGGTTACTACTTCTTGGCATCAGGATTTCCCCCCTAATGTCCTCAGTCTCTATTAAATTGCTTGCCTATAATTGACCTTTTTCAGCAACTTCTAAAGAACATTTCCTGCTTCCTGCTAATTTATAAGCAGTGAAACCTCAGTTTGCCCTTAATTTTAGCTTTTCTTTTATATTCTTTGCATTTTGATAAGACAATTTCTGGGAGAATCATATTAAAAAATTAGCACAGGGGAAAAATCTGTTTCCATACTTAGTGTGATGTCATTCCATATTGCATGAGAGAGACTTGTTAAACTCTTGTGACAGTTAATAAAAATAAAACAAAGCGACAACATTAAACTGTTATAAGAAACAAAGTTACACTGAACAATATTTTTCTCATGCTTGTTCCATCTGGCTAAGTTTTAGGAGATTTTGGAAGGATTTTTGCTTTGAATGCCATAAATTATGTGTGCTACATTTTTGATACCACATTCTTTAATGTTTCAGGAATTAGAATCACAACCTCTAACTACTAGTGAACATGCAAAAAGTCTTTGACTGCGTTTTGTTGGCAAAAAATTTGCATTTTCTCCAAGTTTGTTTTGGGAGTTTGACAGATGTTTTCCTCCCATCCCACAACTTTTCAGATTAACCCAAATCTTTATATTTACAGTTCAGTAATGGCCAAAAATCCTAAAAGGCAGGAATCAAGTTGAGATATAACAGAAAAAGATTTGCACACTGTAGAGTAGTTAATCACCTGTACAAAGAGAATATTTAAGGTTTTCCCCATATTTTGCTTCAACTTTATTTATTTTATTCAATCCCCCACCCACCATAAGCTAGTTCTCTATTCACAAGTGGTTTATTCCTGTCAAGAATCTGCTTTCATAAGAATATGTTTTAAGAGACAGCAATTCAGGTCTTAGTTTGGGATTGTCTCATAAGAGATAGTTGTGTTATTTTTGTTGCTGTTTTATTTATCTAAGCTATAGGATTAAGAAATGGTAGGAAATGTAGCTGCTCCCAAAAGTTATTTCTGCAATCAGCAGTTTCTAAAGGAAGAAATGATGCCTTGGGTTTAGGATGTGCTAATTCTTCCAAAGAATGTTTTAAAAAATCTAAATAAATTAAGGGCTGGATCAGGGAAGTTAAACATGCTTATCTCAAAATCTGTTCTGGCTAAAAAAAAGTGATTTCTAGATTGTTCCCTAATGGAGGGAGATCCCATATTCTCATCTTGTAGTTATCTAGATTATACTTAAGACTCCCACCTCAGGAGGGGGTAAGCCCCATTTTTCTTCTTGAACCCTTTATTCCATTTCCTGAATCCCCAGGGGAGTTGATTGG